CTCTCTCTCTCTCTCTCTCTCTCTCTCTCTCTCTTCATTTTTATTTTTCTCTCTCTCCATCTCGGCTTTCTCTCTCTCCCTTACCTCTTGGTCCCAGTAGTGTGCGTGTGTCTCCGAATCATCCCCCCTCCCCCCACATCGTGCGACTCCTCGCTCTCTCCCCCCATCTCCAGCCTCATCTTCTCCAAGCGCAGCTGGCCGGGGTCCTCGGGCTGAGAGTAGGCGCGGCCATACTTGGTGGTGACCTCCGCGCGGCCAGCCGGGGTGGAGGAAGACAAGGGGGACTGAAACACCGTGTCGCTCAGCTCTCGCTCCTCCGCCGAGTTGCAGGCCGCTTCCTTCGCCCCACCAGGAACAACGAGAGCAGCAGCAGCAGCAGCGGTAGCCGAGGACCTCTCATTGTTGTCCCCTCCTTTCGCCTCCCTCCTAGTCTTGCCGCCTCCTCCTAGCCGATCCGGCCGCTTGTGGTGGTGCACGGGACGACCTCTCGATTCCGACATAACGACGGTGATGTTGTTACTTCTAGAAATTCTCCCCGCGTCGTTTTTCTTCTTCGTTATAACAGAAGGGCGGCCAAGGTTAAGGTCGGGGTCAGGGTGAGGGTCAAGGACATGGGTTGCTCTAGTCCCCTCGACGTGCTCTCCACGGCTGCCACAGTTGGACGTGACACGTGATTTTGTTGTTGTTGTTGTTGTTGTGGCGGTGGTTGTGGTGGTTGTGGTGGTGGTGGTGGCTGTGGTGCTACTGTGCTGGGAACAACAACTATCGCTGGCCCCCCGCAGACAACGGCATCTCTTACACACCCGGAAACTGTTCATTCGACGAGTGGCTCACTGTGGCGGGTGTGAGCGGCTGCTGGTCTGACGTCTCCGGCAACGAGAGGAGGACACTGGGACGTCATTCCCTGGAAAAGAAAGGGAGCACAAAATCAGATTGAGGGTGCGATGGCTGAGCGGTTATATGGTATAAATGGTATGACTTTAACGCCCTTATCAACACTATTAGGTTATTTAAGGGGCGGGACCTCCTAGTTTAACGTCCGTCTCCGACAGGACCGAGCCAAGTG